AATATAAATTTAAATTTTCCGAACAGTTATGAATCAATCATTTTAGAAACTACACAGCTACCAAATACTTTTCATAATTTTTTAATAGGCAGCAGTAGTGACATATCATTAATTAAAGTTCATAACATTGATAAAGAAACTCTTGTATACACAGATAAAAAATTTAACTAATTGGAATAACATCAAATTCATTAACAACCCATGGCGTTTCTCATATTAACTTTAAATTTTCCGAACAAAATACAGAATTTCCGTTTCAAGTTGTATCAAATCTTCCAATTAAATATTCAGGAATCATCGGTAAAGATTTTTTTTGAAATTTAAAGCAAAAATTAATTATCATTCTAAATTATTTTCACTAGAAATCAATAACCAAGAGTTTACAACCTCTTTAGTTAATTTCGAAAAACATTTAATCCCTCCTCGATCCGAAACAACATTAAAAATCGAAACTGCGTTAAACGTCGAAGCAGTATGTTTTCAAAACAACATGAAAACGGATTGATATTAGCTAACTGTATTGTAAAACCTATTGAAAATTGTTTTTTTATAATGTTATTAATCCTACGTCAGATCGTCAATTCCTTAATTCAAAAGACGTAAACTTCGAGTTATTAAGCAACTTTGATATAATCGACTCTATAAATCTTAATAAAAATAAATCTATCAAATCTAACCAAGAATCAATCGATTTTCAATGTTTGTTCAATAACGTAAATTACAACGATACAATTGATGACAATGACAAGAAACAAAGAGTACAAAAAGTTTTACAATGCATAAAAACTAATCACATGACAAATCTCGAAAAAGATTCAATTTTAAATATTTGTACAAAATTTCATGATCTGTTTTATTTAGAAAACGACAAACTGACATATACAAATACGTTTACTCATAGTATCCCCGTCGAAAATGACAAAAAACCCATATACATAAAACCCTACAGATTACCGCACGCTCATAAAACAGAAATTCACCGACAAGTTTCACAGATGTTAGCAGACGATATTATTCAAAATTCGCAAAGTCCCTGGAATTTTCCTTTAATTATTGTCCCCAAAAAACTTGATACTGACGGAAATAAAAAATGGAGGATATGCGTCGATTTCAGAAAATTAAACGCAATTACAAAATTGGACGCTTTCCCATTACCACCAACATTATAATACCAAGTTACTAGAAGTGCTAGAAAAATTACGACAATACAATCTAAAGTTGCAACCCGATAAGTGTCATTTTTTGAAACACGAAATTACGTATTTAGGCCTTATTATCGGTGCACACGGTGTGTCTCCTGATCCTGATAAAATTTCCTCAGTAAAAAACTTTCCCACTCCTTCCAATCAAAAAGAAATAAAAATATTTTTAGGATTGTCCGGTTACTACCGCAAATTTATACAAAATTACTCCCGAATTGCATTACCTCTAACCGAATTATTAAAAAAGGACGCCAAATTTAATTGGACCCAAGAGTGTGAACTTCCATTTAATGAACTTAAACAAAAACTAATAAATCCACCTTTACTCCAGTATCCCGACTTCGATCGAGAATTTTCATTAACCACGGACGCAAGCGTTTTGCATTAGGCGCGGTTCTATCTCAAAATGTCGAAGGAAAAGATTTACCAATTGCATATGCATCGCGAACCTTGCACCCCGCAGAAAAAAATTATTCTACTATAGACAAAGAACTTTTAGCAATCGTGTGGAGCATAAAACATTTCCGACCTTACCTTTATGGAAAACCATTCAAATTGTACACCGATCACATGCCCCTTATCTACTTGTACAAATGTAAAGATCCAATTCATGGCAAATGCGCTGGAGGCTTTCTTTAGAAGAATATGAATTCGATATAATTTATAAATCTGGATCATCTAATACGAATGCCGATAGTTTATCTCGCTCATTTTTTGATATTCAAGAATTAGCATCTAATGAAAATACTTCACCTATTCCTATCGATCCTAAACCACAGTTTTCTCTTCTATGCAGATGCAATTTTAATTCCGAAATTAATTTTGAAAATTTTTTAAATACTATTAAAACCTCGGTTATAATTAATAACAATATCGAGGAATCGAATGAAGTTTTTCTCACATCCCTAAAACATGAAGAATCCGCATTGATATTCGTGATAAAAACCAAACTCCCGATGATAAATTAACTAAATATTTCGATTTTTTCCAACATAGTAACATTAATAACAATTTGGCTAATTACGGAACAAACGATTTTTCAACTTAAACTACTCTCAAAAACAAATTTTTACTCAATTGTAAATAACATGAATTCTCAGCCAACACTTGAAGATTTTTTCCATTGCCTCTTAAATCTAAAAGCTCATTTAACTCAAGAAAATATTAAATCCATTGCTATTCCAGCGCCCGCACAATTTCAAAGTTTTTGCCACATACCAATAGAAAATTTTAGATTTACGATACATTTTCAGAGACACCGACATAAAATTAAAAATTTATTATGACAAAATTATTGAAAACCTAACACCGGATGAGATAAGTAAGTTTTAAACCAATTTCATAGATCACAATATACGGGAGGTCATCTGGGCCATAAAAAACGTTCAGCAGAATACGTAGCATATACAAATGGCCAAAAATGCGAAAACAAATTAAATCATATGTAAGCAAATGTCCTGATTATCAAAAACCACATTACGTAGAACAATTAGAAAGTGGTCCAAATAAATGCACTACCCGAAATAATCAATTGAAAAATTATTTTGTCTTTTTCAGCTAATAGTAAACGATTTTTTGGAATCGATGTTCTACGTAATGTGGTCTGAGTCAATGTGAGTAGAATCACGTAAAAATGTTTTTGATATCTTTATGGTTACGCCAAAAAGTGAGTTTGAAAGAAGGGGCCACTTTGCTATTTTCAATGATATCTCGGCCATAAGATGAGGTACAAAGTTGAAAATTGGTTATAACGGTTTTTATCAAATAGACCTATAAAAGGCGTATAAATTATTTAATACCAGGGTGGGGCCGATTCTGTATGGCAATGCGCCCATACCATTTGTATTGATATTTGCGGCCTTTACCCTGTTTCTGACTCCGGAAATAAATATTTGTTGACATTTATATGCGACTTAACGAAATATGCAGGCGCCATCCCCATTTGTAATCAAGAAAGTTCGCCAGTCGCAAATGCATTCGTTTCAGAAATTATTTTAAAATTTGGCTTTCCTAAGGAAATTCTATCTGATCAAGGCCCCACGTTTACTAGCAATTTATTCAAGGACGATTGCAAATTACTAAAAATTAAAAAAATAACAACTTCTCCGTACAGACCTGAGTCGAATGGCTCATGTGAAAGGATCCATAGGGATTATGTTCAAAACTTGAGATCTTATATTAACAAAACCCAAACAGATTGGGACAAATGCATAAAATTCGCAGTTTTTATCCATAATACAGCTATACATAACGCGACAAATTACACATCTTTCGAGTTAGTTTTTGGTAGGAAAATAGAATTACCACTGTCTATAGCAAAACCTATATTTCAATATAACTATGACACTTACGTTAATGAGTTAAAATCGCGGTTATCGCACGCGAATAGTTTCGCTCGACAGAATTTACTGAGTAATAAAGAAAAAACTAAAAGTAACTATGATATGTGCTTTTGAGAGTAGAGATGAAACTCCGTATCCGCGGCGATGCAAAAAACTTTTGCCCCTATGGAAAGGTCCCTTTAAAATATAAAAAACCGACAGTATAAATAGTACCATTTGATCCATAATAAACATGTACAAGTGCACAACAACAAATTGAAAAAGTTTATACCAAACGAATAAAGTAACATAATCTTTATCAAATTTTCAAAAAAAAATATTATTGAATTGCATTTAATTAATTTGATAAATCTTATAGAATAATGTTAATTATCACATAAATCAAATTATCAATTAAATTTTATTGGTTAAATAATAATAATAAAAATAATATTTCTTTTCACAAATAAATTAAATCTAAAATATGTAATGTAAATGTAAATCTAGAATTTAAAAAAATAGTCCAATTTATAATATTAATGTTAAGGTTTAGCTAAGTGTTTTGATTTACTAAAATATAAATAAAAATCGCGGTCTTTAGTTGTTATATCCATTATGCATCAACTCATAGTTATTAAGATAAAGATTTTAGTTATTAATGTACAAGTTAATTACAACCTGAAATTCGCTAATGTTATGTAATAAGCCGAGGACGGCTTAATTTTTACGATGGAGGTGTTGAGAATTGTGTTCTTTATAATTATAAATATTAGTCATAAGTAAATTCATTCGAACGATGTATAATCCCAAGTAATGGTAAATGTTGCGAATATTTTGTACATCTGCAAGACAACCCTTAATAAAAGTTTATGATAGCTCATGTACCCTCGGCGAGCTATCATAAAACTGGAAATATTGGAAATACTTTAAAAATGTAAAATTATAAGTTAGTTAATACAATACAATTTACTGGTCAGATTTAAGTAATAACCTATTCTTTTCGTTCACAACATACTTTTTTAGTTCCTGAACTTGCCATACATTTAATTTATATTACTTTTAAGATTAGAGTGGATATCTTTTTTATCATTAATTAATATGCTTGTGAAAATAAGCATTATATATTTGATTTAATAAAATAAACATGAATTCTTGTTCCTAAAAATTCTTGTTTTTCACTAATTTTAATAGGTTTTAGAGATTAGGAACAAATCACCCATTTTTGTATAAGATCAATGTCTTTTTTTACACGGTTTTTTTACACGGCTTCTTCTGGAACCAATCTACCGTGTAAAAACAGACTTAGGTGTATATATACTTTAATAAGCTTTCTTATAAAATAAATATAAAACATATCAAATATTGATAGAGTAATGATTTATCCACACGAACTTATAGAGAATTATATTAGCGTTTGAAATTTTGACTATACATCATTAATAGTGATTCTAAAATCTACAATAATCGAATATCTTACCGGAGGATTAGATGTCGTCGTATATCTGCTTATGGTCGACATATCCCTTGGTGCATCCGTCAAATCTTCCTCTCCGGTTGCGTTACAGTTGTCAATGGCGATGTTGATGGGTGATTTTGAAACGTCGTTCTTCTGTTCCGTTCTAAGCAATTTGGCCGGTTCATTTATGTCCTCCTTCAGAGACCTTGCGAATTCAGGTGTAAAACCATTCGAGACAACTTTAGAATTTACCGAATTATCATTGCAACCCACGTTAAAAGCGCGCTGAGTGTTCAAATCATTTGTTTTTGTCTCCGTCTGCAATGAACGTGAAAAAATGTCAGTGATTTCATTAAAATTGAATTGACAGATACAAATTTGACAACTTGAATAAATACTCTGAAGCAGAGGTGGGACTTGCTTCAAACTAGGTGTAAGTAGCATTTTGCCTTAAGGAAAGTTGCATGAACTTGCTGATATTATGAAAATAACTTAGTAAAACTTTGACAGAAAAATTTTCAACTGTTTATTTTAAAAATAAAGGTATTGCTTTTTGCAAACAAACTAATCAATGAATTTTGCAATTCATATGTCCCAAACAAACTTATAAGAAATGTAATTCAAGATGACCATTATTATTGTCATCAATAACTTAAAAAAATAAAATAAAAAAATATTATAAAAAATTGAAGATGAAAGAGATTGAATAGATATTTAAATATAAGGCTTATAAATGTAGAATCAAATAGATATAAATGATATGTATATATGAAATTTCATTTCTCTCACAATCTCTCTTATACCAGGCACCCCGCCTGACAGATGTGAAAATAATATGTCAATAAAAAAAATAATTTATTTAACTATCTCATTCTACTTATAGAGTCTATAAAAATGTATTTTATATAAAATATGATCGTCAATAGAAATCAGTACAAAACCAAAACAGAAATATATAAAGAATGTGTCCAAAAGACTATGTAAACTACTTTGGGGGCATTCAATAATCACCTGAGGCTTGAAAGGGAAATTGACAAGAAATTCCGAAATATCATCGTAGGGGAGGCGAATCCAGTAAAAAATTATGTGAATTTATTTTTTACCTAAATTGAAAAAAAAATTACCACTTTTTCTAGGTACTGAAATGCCCCTAACACACGTAATGTTTGGTGAAGAAGGGGTCATTTTAAATATCACCATGTATTACCCAAGGGGATAGAAGGGTCCAAAAATCCTTAGAAATCGATCACGTGATTAATGTACGGCCCTATTCTGGTAGTCATATGTATTTGAGAATACTCGCTTAGAGTACACGAGTACACCACCTTTATCACTATGCAAAATTTCATAAAAATCGACACCATTACCAACTGACATCTTTCAAACACTTCACTTTCAAATCGATTCCAGTTTTTTATCGAAAATGTTGACTTCCATATATATCTGCTAATCTTATATATAAAAATGGATCGCAAAATGTGTTGGTAATAACATAACTCAACAACGCCTGGACCAATTTGGCCAATTCTTTTTTTTAAATGTTCGTTCGAGTCCAAGGATGGTTCTTACGGCGAGAAAAAATCGAATTTTTGCTGGGAAAACCCTAAAAACCGCCCTTTTCTTTTTTAATCGAGTAGGCAACGAAATTTGTAGAAAAAACAATGATCTATATCATCACATTTTGTGTAGTTTTTGATAATCATATTTTTAATATATTTATATAAACATAGAAATATCTTTCTATTAATTAACGAGCTATATTGGCAGCCAAAAACATTGATGTAAATGAATTAAATTTCAAAATTCAAGAACAAATTATAGGCGAATCAGTTGATTCGACAACTAACCAAGAGGATCCACAGGAGTTTTAAAAATCGCTGGATTTGCTAGGATTGTCACCTCACAATCTTCAATTAAAGGTTGGATCTACAGTTCCAGTACGTTTATGGTATCATTAAGTGTTTGTGGTATTAATTTGGAAAACCCATGTTTCTCACATGGAAAATTGTATGTTGTCTGTTCCCGTATTGGAAAACCATCAGATTTTTTTGTCTACGCGCCAGGTAATCAAACAAAAAACATCGTTTATCACAAAGCACTACAATAAAAATTGAACTGATTTTTGAATTATGAGTTACATGATTAAAATTACTTACTTTTAAATGCTTATAGTGTTTTATTTAATTATTTTTAATTCACACCGAATTATTACGAGGGTGACGGTTCTGTTCAGGATAATTTTTTGTAAAGAATAGAAAAAAGGTACCCATTACAAACTTTTTTGACAGGATGAAGTCTGTCGGGTCGGCTAGTTTTGAATAAAATGCTCGGTCAATCGCCGCACAAAGATGATGATCGAGTTATATTTACGTTTTTTTTTTCAATTATGATGTCAAGCGATTCAGAATGACTTGGAACGTCAAGAAAACCATAAAATTAGCAAATCCGATTTTCTGGCAGAAGAATATTTAAAGAAAACATAATTTTATAGAGTTTTTCAGAATTGGCGCATTTACAAGCAATCAACTTATCTCCAAAGATAGATTAGAATTATGTATATGTATCAAATAGAAAAATGATAAATGATAACAATTAACAATCAAGAAAAAATGATTGCCAAAAATGAGGCGCAAACATTCAGAAACAAAATTGTAAAGACCATTAATGTGTTTTACATTAAATTCTCTTAGAGTTATTTGAAATGATTTTAGATATTATAGAATTATATTACCTTCACTTTGTCTTAAACGCTTTCAATAAATATCCAAGAATTTGAGCGAATTTTAGCGTAATGCACCAATATATTTATAAGAATTACTAATTACTAATTAGTATGTAGTATAATGAATTTATATTAATTATTCCACACAAAATCTAAAAATTTAAAAGTTTTATGCATGCGATTGCCATATATTCAAATTACGAAAAATTACTAAAGTTATCATACCGACGATTCTGGAGGTGTTTTATATGTGGAGCGGCACCCAAAAATCGATGCGAGCAGTGTTGCATTCGGGAATGAATTCAGTGAAATATTATTTAAGAAAATAACTTAAATTTATTATAAATGATACATAGGAAATCTCCCAGGGCAAGTCCGTGAGCTGAATTAAACTCCAACTCGATTCAGAGAAGAATAGTGTGAGAAATTTACACAATGCCATTTCTCACCGGAGTGCACAAAATGGCTATTTTCAATTTGAAACATATTTTGATCTGTATTTTCATGTGAAAATTGACATCGCTACTGCTCGATGTGGGGTTGTCCAGAACGGGGTTCGAACTCACGACTCCTACACCATGGAACATTCTAGTTTTATTAACTAAATCAAAATAAAAAGTTCCAGTACCACTTTATGTTGCTATTTTTAATTGTAAATTAGCGAAAATAAGAAATCAATAAGAGAACAAAGAACCTCCAAACAAATTTTTATACGGGGCCGAGCCTCAAGGTAGATTTTTATTAATTTTAACAAAGGATAAAACTATGACCAAAAACTAGTGGGGTGTATGGCATCGTGCCTTAAGGCAAATTGCTGAAACTTCCCGTTCCGTAACGAAATGTTCGAGAAATACTGAATGCTTTCAAATAGATTATTATTAATATTGTAACATTGTTGAAATTGAAGCAAAGTTGGAATTATTTGTTCAAAGTATATTAGAACTATAGTCAGAATTAAAAATAAAATCTGAATTATTTTCGATATACAAAAAAAAAACAAAAAAAAATATATATATATATATATATATATTTTTTTTTTCCAAAATCAATTATTTTGTTAAAACAAGCTGAAAGTTCTTTGAATCATTTAAATTGGACGCATAGTTCTCTCAAAAACTGCCATTTTTTGCACATTTAGCTCTGTATCTTCGAAATGGCTGGGCCTGCCATTGCCAAAAACTAATAATCACTTCTCCTAATCATTACTAATTGAATGTTTTTTAGATCATTCAAATCGGATGCTCCGTTCACTCAAAAACTCGATTTCTATTTTCTGCACTATTTGCTCCGTATCTCCGTAACGGCTTGTCCTGCCTTTGCCAAAAACTAATCAGCTCTTTTCCCTATCAATAGGAATCGAATGCGTGCGCCCGAAAACGTGTCTGGTAATTTGTATCCATACATATATATATACACACACACACACACATCCATTTTTTCTGAGGTATGCCAAAATGTTCAGAAACCTTCAAAACGTCGAGAAATGTAAAAAATTTCAATTCCGATTTTCGCCCATTACAATAACTTACCCTACGGGAAGTTAATGTACATATATAAAATTTATATATATGTACGTATATAAAAAACTGAAAACTTTTGAAGAAACGGCTTATTTCTAATTATATTTGTTGAGAATCTGATTTGAATGATATACCCTGATGATAAATTATAATATTGCAGCCCTTGCAGAAGCTATAACAATGGTTTGGAAGTTTTGGTTGTCGTTTTTAATCATAAATTCAAGCAAAATTTCCTATACATGAGTAAGAAGTTGTAAATTATACAAAAAATACACCCTTTAAACTCACTAACAAAATTCGAAAGTTTTACTTGATGTGTGAAGCTTTTAAGTAATGAATGCCAAAATTGTGTTTTTATTTATTGATGTGGCGCAAAACTGAAAAGTTACTAAAAAAGTAAGGATATTATCAAAAACATCAATAAATAAAATTGAAGATCTACAAAAGATCATATTAACCATAGATATGTTGGCAGAATTTTATGTCACATGGGTAAATAAAATAATTTATTTGTAATAAAGAATCTAATTTGAATAATATACATCAATATATAATAATTCTGCATTCTATAAAAGAGCTACAACACTGCTGTATACACAAGTTGCTAACAGCCAGGTAATGGAAATGATCAATTTCCCGTTTGATTACAGTGATAAATAAATAACGTTGTTATGGTTAGCAAAACCACACTATTGATTCTCATAAAAGAACTACTATTTGATATTATTCAAGATAACAAATTTATATATGGATGAATCACATATATATTAAAAATTATATTATATTTATATATTTTATAAAATTACATTTAATGGCAAATCCGCATAGAAATAATTGTACCAAAGCTAGCCTATTATAGTTTTTTTACACTGAGTTTTCATAAGTATTACTGATCCAGTTGGTATATTTCTCACATACAACAAGAAAGAAATTTCACTGAAAATACCATTAATTGTTATCCTAATACCATGCATGTGAAATATTTATGGCATTTATTTCACTCAAAAAAATTACACATTGCCTAATTAGAAAATAAAATCTCAATTTTACCTAATCACTTAAGTGTAACCAATTTTATGTTTTATTAAGTATGTCTACTTCTAAATTAAATGATTATGTTTTAATCGGAGCTATATAAGTATTGAGAACTTCATTATTACAAAATAACTTCCTATACCATTCGGGGTTGTTTTACTTAGAAAAATTCCATCAAATAAAATATTGACATATTTGATTAACTTTCTGATTAGATTCCTATAACATATTTTCGATATGATATGGTACTTAACTGAAATCAAACCAGTAAAATAATCATTTAGATATTTAGAATGTAGTGTAATTTAATTGATAGCATGAACCAAAATAAATTTTTCAATAAGGTAACTTATAGTACATTTATAATATATATATATATGTTAAACATATATGTTATATATTAACTGATGAAGAAGACAAAACACGGTCACGGTTAACATTTGTAACCTAGTACTTTATGAAATAAAACTAGTGCAAAAATACTGCCCAGTAAACATGCGATATGGCCACAACATCGTGGCAATATTTTATTTAGGTCGTGTGACATGCGGTTCCCATATTCATTTTCCTCGATATTTAATGGATACGGCCGCAAATTTATGTAACTATCGAACAACTATCGAGGTTCGGTCTCTGGCGCACGTGGCGTTCGTGATACATGAAAATCGACGTTGACCCACATATGTTTGTTTATTATGATAAGACCGTCTGACGTAAGGCGTTAACCCCAGTCATGACGTCATTGGCGAATGAAAACGATTCGGTCATGACGTCATACAAAATGGCGACTCAGTTATGACGTAATAGCACCTGAAAGTGATGACGTAATGCAATTAATATTCTTTTCTGTACGAATAAGCATTTATTTACGTGAATAATAAGAAATTTTACAATATTTAAATATTACAAATTAGAATTGTAGTTTAGAAATTATAAAATTTTAACATGAACTATACTAGAAAACTATTTACAAATTATTCAATCTTAACATATTAATAACAGTATATTTAATGAAAATTGTTGTATATCTAATGAACGTAATTCTATTTTTGGGGCGTGAAGTGTGAAGTGTTGCATAAGTATTCTATCGCCACTTCCTTATACATCAAACAGCCTGCCTATTTTTCATTATTTCATTCTATCGCCAGTTCATTGCATCAAATGCCAGGATACAGATTATGCACATATGACATACTGCCCCAAATTTTGGAAGTTTTCTAAAACAAATTCAAACATAATGTGATTTACTGTATATAATATAATATATATATACAGCTACCATATGTGTAGCTACCTACATGTTCAGTGTACAAATCTCCATCATCTTAAAGTCGCTTTTATAGATACATTTTTAACACTGACTGATTTCATTCTATCGCCAGTTCAATACATCAAATGCGAGGATACAGGATATTCATATATGATGTACTTCTTGGAAGTTTTCTAAAACAATTTGAAACATAATGTGTTTTATTGAATCTAATAATATATATACCACTCCATATGTGTAGCAACTTACATATTCAGGAGACAAATCTAAATCGTCTTCGAGTCGCTTTTGCACATACATTTTTTTAACCTGATTGAATTCATTCTATCTTCAGTTCATTATACATCAATACATCAATCAAGTTCATGCATATACGACATACTGTTCCCAATTTTAGAGGTTTTCTAAAACAATTATAAATATAATGTATTTGTTACCAAATAATATATATACAGCAACTATATATGAATCAACTTACATATTAAGAAGATAAATCTCCATTATCTTCAATTTGCTCCTAAACATATATTATTTGAGCCTGTCTAAAGATCTGTATATTGTTCATCGTTTCATTCCAGTTTTGTACGACTTCTGAAATAAATATGAACATGGCATATGTGTTTGCTGTTTATATATATATTTGTATAGCTATTATATTTGTAGTGACTTACATATTCAAACAATCATTCTCGATCCGCTTCTCAACCGACTAATTTAAGAGATTTAAGAAGTGAGGTTATGTCGAACACATGGATATGTTAATGTCTTAATTTAGTAAAATAATTATTTTAACCTTGATAAACGATCCTTATTATTGTCCTCAGATTTTGTAAGATATGCTATTTGGTTACCTCCTTTGTCATCTAAAGAAATCGACATAAAATAACGTTTCTTCATCCCAGGATATAATGCACTAAATGGAATTCAAAATCGTGAAGTAATTACATATCTATATAAATAATATATGATATACTTACGGTGTCATTTTTCTACACTTTTCTACAATTATCATAAACAAGTTGCTTAACTAAACGAATGTAATTATTATACTAAAGAAAATATAACTTGATGCATGATAAATTCGTGACATTTTGCGCCATTTTGTACGCGGTTTTAGGTTAGCTTTCGTCAAAGAAACAGTCGGTTCCACCAGTGGCCACGGCGCGCTGATGTAAAGCTTTCTTTGTATGGTCACACACACCAGCACACAACGCACACAACGCAGCGCACGACGCGTTTGCTTCACGCCGTGTGACGTCATTGATTATGCTTTGCATGTGTGCTAACACACACCAGCGCACGACATGTATCTCATGAAATTCAACGATGTCATTACCCCCGACAGCGCGTGTTTATGTCTCGTGAGACAACTCAATGCGAGCTTTGCGTGTATTGTAACACACACAAGCGCACGCAAGTTTAAAATCCTCTTGTGGCGTAGATTCGATAACCGCATTATAATAACGATGTCGATATTATAGAAGATCACATCGCGTGTTTACTGGGTGAGTAGTGTGCCCATATTTACATAATTATGCACATCCCTCATAATACAAAATTCTACTTCTACCTTAATATATACATATACCTATAATGAATGAAAAAAAGACAGAATGTCTATAAACAGGCAGAAGAGTGGTTCCTCATCAATAAAATTATGTTGAAAAAAAAATCTATCTCCATCAATTTCACATCCAGTGAAAGTAGAAGATACATAGAACTTCAAGGCAATAGTTGGGAATAACAATGGATAGTCTGCTGGCCAAACACAAAGATTTATTATGCGCAAGGCTTCCTATGGAAAATTAGATCCATAAGAAATCAGGAAAGGGCCAAAGAGAGCTATTTTGTTATGTTCATTCTAGATTCTCATTTAGATTAGAATATTAGGTTGAGAACACTATCCTTACGTTTGCAAATTTATGGATCTTCAGAACAAAGCTGTGATAGCGATAAAAGGTGCTTCATCTTGTAAGGCTTGTAAGCTGCTATTAATGAAATATAATATTCTGAGTATCACAAACATTTATATTTGATACAAAAAACATGGTGATAAAACAAATCATATACTGAAAGTAAATAAAAATGCTGTGATGAAATCAAGCTTAGATATCACTGAGAACCAGACTTTGTAGCAAGATTTATAACAAGATACCTGATGGATGTGAAACCGATAACAAGCTTAAAATTACAGTCATTTGTTAAACAATTCAGCTTATCTGTTAAGTGGATATTTAGGACACTATGTAAGAAAATATTTTTCAAATCAGAATGAATTATACAATCACCAGGTTTTCTTCACTTGGATATATAATGATAATTATTTCCAATTACTTTTCCAAAAACAGAATAGACGTCTATCCGAAATAAATTAGTAAGTCAAGTATACCTGAAAAACCAGCCAAACAGGCTTAAAAGAAAAATACAATTAGACCTAATATAGAATAATTAACTATAATACTTTCATTTTGTTATATTTTATTGTGTTTTCCCTTTTGTTTTTAGTTTTTTTTTTATCATATTTTAATTAGCTCTAGTAGATACATCACTGGGGGTTTCTGCTAATTCTTAATCAACTTCAGTTTACCATAAACTTGTCAGCATTCTGTGCTAAATGTAATAATATATACAGATTGCAGAATAAAATTGAATTAAAAAAAAAAACAATTACTAATATATCTTGATATGAAATAAGATAAAATTGACCAGGTTTTGCAAGTTTTTTTTTAAATGAATAAACAACTGTATTCATACTTAAGGCGAGAGTCAGATTTATGAAGTTTGGCTATGGCACAATAAATATATTTCAGAAAGAAGAGTTCGACTAGAGATAAAGATGATGTTTAAGTAATTTGTGCTCTTTATACTTACATCAAATCTAATAATATAAAACTATAAATGTGATATACATAAAACAATGATATATACGTAAGACTAGACTTTAAGAGATTGTGTAGATATCATGTAATTTAGTATATGGCTAATGTACTAGTTTATAAAGCCAATAAATCATAAATAAAAAAAAGTAATTTGTCATCCATGTTCTACTTTATCAATCACTGTAATAGTTTATAATGCAATTGCAAAATGACTT